CCGCCAAGCAGGCTTACTTCGTAAACCTGATTAACACCCCCTCTCCTCCTGCCCTCGCCGACTCTTCTCCACCTTCAACTCCCTGCTCTCTCCCCCCCCCCCCCTCCCACTCAGTACCTCACTCACCGCCCACGAGATTGCCACTCATTTCCACAATAAAATTGATGCTATCCGTCAGGACATAGTCAACTCGCAATCTACCTCCCCACCTAGCCTCCCCCCCCCCTATCTCCCCCTCATCTCTTCCCTCCTCTGACCTCGCAACCGCACTGCCCCCTCCACACCCAAGACCCCGCTTACCGTAACCCCACCAGCTCTGCACTCCTTCAGCCCCGCTACCACTGAGGAAGTCACCAGGGTCTTCTCTGAAGCCCGCCTCACTACCTGCCCCCTAGACCCTATCCCTCTCGACTCCTCCAGTCACCCCCCCTCTTCCCTCATCTGCTCCCTCACCCACATCTTCAATCTCTCCCTCTCTACCGGCGTATTCCCCTCCCCCCTAAAGCATGCGCACATCCCCCCATACTCAAAAAGCCCTCCTGGACCCCTCTGACCCAAACAACCTCAGACCCATCTCCCTGCTGCCACTCACTTCCAAACTCCTGGAGCGCTTAGTCTACAACCGCCTAAGCGCCCACCTAACTGACAACAACCTCCTTGATCCACTACAGTCCGGCTTCCGTCCCCTACACTCCACCGAAACCGCCCTCCTCAAAATCACCAACGACCTACTTACCGCCAAAGCCAAAGGCGACTACTCTGTCCTCCTCCTCCTGGACCTCTCCGCGGCCTTCGACACAGTTGACCACCCCTCCTCCTTAATAAACTATTCTCCCTTGGCATCAGAGACACCGCTCTCTCCTGGTTCTCCTCTTACCTATTCCGACGCTCCTTCAGCGTTTCCTACAATGGTGCCACCTCCCCCTTCCCTCCCCCTCTCTGTTGGGGTCCCCCAGGGCTCTGTCCTTGGACCCCTTCTCTTCTCCATCTACACCTCCTCCCTTGGCAAACTCATACACTCCCACGGCTTCAACTACCATCTCTATGCTGATGACACTCAAATTTACCTCTCCACCCCTCACCTCACCTCCACTTTCTCCGCCCGCATCACTCACCTCCTAAACGACATCTCTGACTGGATGTCGCTCCATTTCCTCAAACTCAACCTCTCCAAAACCGAGCTTCTCGTCTTCCCTCCTGCCCGCCCCCCCCCCATCCTATCCATCACTACTAACATCACCACCATCAATCCCGCCCCGCAAGCCAAAGTCCTTGGGGTCATTCTGGACTCTAACCTCTCCTTCCAACCTCATGTCAAATCACTGACAAACACATGCAGGCTCCACCTCCGCAATATCGCCAAAATACGCACCTTCCTTACCCCAGACACCGCTAAACTACTTGTGCACTCCCTGATTATCTCACGCCTTGACTACTGCAACTCCCTCCTCACCGGCCTACCCCAGTGCAAACTCTCCCCGCTTCAGACCATCCTGAACTCAGCTGCCAGACTCATCCACCTCACCAGCCGCTCCACCTCTGCCACCCCCCCTCTGCCTCTCCCTCCACTGGCTCCCTATCGCCCAACGCATCAAATTCAGACTACTCACTCTGACCTACAAAGCCATTCACAACACTGCCCCTAACTACCTCACCGACCTGATTCCCAAGTACCACCCTACCCGTACCCTTCGCTCTTCACAGGACCTCCTTCTATCTTGCTCCCTGGTCTCCTCCTCACACGCACGTCTGCAAGACTTCTCCAGGTCCTCCCCCATCCTCTGGAACTCACTACCCCAATCCATCAGACTGTCACCTTCCCTCCTCACCTTCAGGCGCTCCCTGAAAACCCACCTCTTCAGGGAAGCCTACCCCACCCTCACCTAACTGCTGCTCTCCTTCATTCCTCCTACCACTCCATCCCCCACAGCCACTTCCTCCTGTACCACTACCCCCTCCCTCCCAGATTGTAAGCTCGAAAGAGTAGGGCCCTCTTACCCCTCGTGTGCTGTTCGTAGCTGCTGTAATGTTTCATGTATTGTCCCCCCCTTATTGTACAGCGCTGAGCAAACCCTTTGGCGCTATATAAACTCAATGTAATGTAATGTAATGTAATGTAATGTTATTAGCCAATAAAGAAAAATATCACCGGTTTCATAATTTGTTGCAAGGTTTTCAGCTTTTAAGCCTCTCCATCATCTTTTATGTTCTTTTTTTTATTATTATTATTCATTTATTTACTTATTTTTTTACATTTTTGTTGGGGTAAGGGGTTAGAGTTAGGGTTAGGAGTTGTTAGGGTTAGAGCTGGGTTAGGGGTTAGAGTTAGGTGTTATGGTTAGGATTAAGAATAGGGGTTAGAGTTGGGATTAGGAGTTCGGGTTTGACTTTGGGGTTATTATTTCATTTATTGTCTTGTTATTATTTGTTTATTTATTTATTGTTAATGTTAGGGGGTTAGGGGGTTTATTCATTTAATAATTAATTTATATTATTGTTATTGTTATTATTATTATTAATAATAAAAAAAAATTTGAGTTGGGGGTTAAGGTTAGGGATTAACCATTTCAATACCGGGCAATTTTCCCCCTTCCTGCCCAGGCCAATTTTCAGGTTTCCTCGCACTCACACTTTGAATGACAATTGCGCGGTCGTACAACATTGTACCCAAACTAAATTTTTTTCATTTTCTTCACACAACTAGAGCTTTCTTTTGGTGGTATTTAATCACCGCTGGGGTTTTTATTTTTTGCTAAATTATCAAAAAAAGACCGAAACGTTTGAAAAGAAACACGTTTTTCTTTGTTTCTGTTATAAAAGTTTGCAAATAAATAATTGTTCTTCATACATTTAGGCCGAGATGTATTCTGCTACATGTCTTTGGTGAAAATAACCCAAATTAGGATTTATTATTTAGTTTGTAGGAAAGTTATAGAGTTCACAAACTATGGGATAGATCTGAATATTGATCAATCCTGAAGTACTGACAGCCAATCTAAGTTCTTGAAGTCCAAGAATGTCAGAACAGAACAGATATCCCCCAAATGTCAGGACAGTACAGATATCCCCCAAATGTCAGAACAGTGCAGATATCCCCCAAATGTCAGGACAGTACAGATATCCCCCAAATGTCAGAACAGTACAGATATCCCCCAAATGTCAGAACAGTACAGATATCCCCCAAATGTCAGGACAGTACAGATATCCCCCAAATGTCAGGACAGTACAGATATCCCCCAAATGTCAGAACAGTACAGATATGCCCCAAATGTCAGAATAGTACAGATATCCCCCAAATGTCAGGACAGGACAGATATCCCCCAAATGTCGGAACAGTACAGATATCCCCCAAATGTCAGAACAGTACAGATATCCCCAAATGTCAGAACAGTACAGATATCCCCCAAATGTCAGGACAGTACAGATATCTCCCAAATGTCAGGAGAGTACAGATATCCCCCAAATGTCAGGAGAGTACAGATATCCCCCAAATGTCAGGACAGTACAGATATCCCCCAAATGTCAGGACAGTACAGATATCCCCCAAATGTCAGGACAGTACAGATATCCCCCAAATGTCAGGACAGTACAGATATCCCCCAAATGTCAGGACAGTACAGATATCTCCCAAATGTCAGGAGAGTACAGATATCCCCCAAATGACAGAACAGTACAGATATCCCCCAAATGTCAGGACAGTACAGATATCCCCAAATGTCAGAACAGTACAGATATCCCCCAAATGTCAGAACAGTACAGATATCCCCCAAATGTCAGGACAGTACAGATATCCCCCAAATGTCAGGACAGTACAGATATCCCCCAAATGTCAGGACAGGACAGATATCCCCCCAAATGTCAGGACAGTACAGATATCCCCCAAATGTCAGAACAGTACAGATATCCCCCAAATGTCAGAACAGTACAGATATCCCCCAAATGTCAGGACAGTACAGATATCCCCCAAATGACCCCTTTTTGCAGAGTAGACAGTCCGACGTACTTCATAAGAGGCATGGCGAGTTTTTTTAAGTTGTTTTTTTTTGTCATAATTTTTCGGAAAATGAAAAAATGAAAAAAATTATTTTCACAATTGTTTTTTTTACATATTGTCACCAGTGCAGTACAGAGTCATCATATAACTGGCATGGCAGTGAGCAGGGACACTGACTGGTGACAGTATGAAATAAAAAAAAAAATATATATATATATATATATTTTAATTATTTTTAATTTTTTATTACATTTTTTTTTCTTTTTTTTTAAGATTTATTTTTCATATTTCACTATGTCCAAAGTAGTACAATGTTACCATAGTAACAATGACCTACTTTGGGGAAGTGATCAGTATTTTTTTTATTTTTTTTACACAATTTGCTTACAATGGATGGCATGAATGAAGCCATGGAGGAAATAATGCTTCAAAAAATGCACCAATCTGTCCAAATCAAGCTACAAAAGTATCTCCAAGACTTTTTGAGCTTCATGCAAATATCTCACTTTTTGCACTCCATTTGGGATGTTAAGTCAGAACCCATCGACCTACTGCATATGAATAATGTTGCGCCCAAGATGCAGAACAGAGAGGGGATTTCCCATATCTATAAATTACTGTTGGAGGCTCTCCAAGACTTTTTGAGCTTCAGACATTTGGCTTCAGGTGACTTGGAGTGGAGATGTGAACCATCTCCATGGAGAATAATTGATTTTTTTCTCCCTGAGCGTTTCGGAGCTTCGAGCTTTGCACTATAAAACACACATGTGTGAATGAGGCCTAAGAGGGTAATTAATTCCAATGACCACAAGTGTAAGGAGCATTATTCCCACTGGCCATCACACTGTATAGTTATAGATATAGTAATTTTTAGCAGGGGTTCCCTGAGATCAGAAAGTTATTTCAAGGCTTCCTCTGTGTTAAAAAGATTGAAAAAGGTTGGAACAACTCACTACAAATGCAACTATAGGGGTTAGCTTACATTCTGTTACTTTCCTGTTATAATTTATTCAAAAAATTTATTAAAAATACAATTTTGAAAAAAAATATAATATTTAAAACAATCTATCATTTCATGATTTCTTAAACTATAAATTATCGGGTTCAAAAGAGGAGTCACAACAGTGTACAACAGAGACAAAAACTTATTTATCTTCATCCCATTTTGCTGAGAAGGAACCATGTAAGTAACACATATCGATCCAAAGAACAAGCAAACAGAAGCTAGATGTGAACTACATGTGGAGAAAGCTTTTTGTTTTCCAGCCCGTGAGGAAATTCCAAGAATTGAGTAAAATATACAGACATAGCTGATTATGATTATGACAAACGGGACAAAACTCAGAAAGATGGTTATAAAGAGAACCTCCATCTCTATCAATGATGTGTCTGAAGTAGACAGCTGCAGAAGTGGAGCTAGATCACAAAAGAAATGGTCAATGGTGTTCAAACCACAGAACTGTAGGTGGAAGATTGTAACTATTATTACGCCCATCGCTGTAAATCCAGCCGCCCATGCCCAAGCCACCAGATGGTTGCGAGTGGTAATGTTCATGATGGAAGAGTATCTCAGAGGGTTGCAAATGGCCAAATGCCTGTCGTACGCCATAATGGTTAAAAGAAGACATTCTATATTGCCTGTTGAAGATCCTAGGTAGTATTGGATGATACAGCCATAGAGTGATACGAAACCTCCATTCCACCATACAATGTACAGCATGTTAGGCAGGATCATGGTGGTCATAACTATTTCACAGGCAGATAGGTTGCTAAGAAAAAAGTACATGGGGGACTGGAGTCTTGGGCTGGTAGATATCAAGGTTATAATTAACATGTTTCCTGTTACTATTGCCAGATACGCGAAGAAGAACAAAACAAAAATAGCATTTTTAATGTATTGGAGATGGCCGAACCCCACAAGAAATATCTCCGTCACTGTTGTTTTGTTCTGCCCACATGTGACCTGGTAGGAAATAATTACAGGCGGTAAACATTAATGTGTAGAACACACAATGGAAAATAATTAATACGTATCCAACAGAAGAATTTAATGAAGCAGATTCTTATAAAATGAAAGAGATATGAAAGGCTTTGATGTGTGTGGCACATTCAGTTGGTCATGTACAGTCATGGCCAAAAATACTGGCACCCCTGCATTTCTGTCAAATAACGCACCACTTCACCCCCAAAAAATGTTGCAAATACAAAATGTTTTGGCATTCTCATGTTTATTTCTTTTGTTTGTATTTGTATGACACAAAAATGTGGAGAAACAAAAAACCAAATCTATCACATTCCACGCAAAACTCCAAAAATGGACTGGACAAAATTATTGGCACCTTCTCAAAATTGTAAGAAAGAATTGTATTCCAGGTTTGTGACGCTCCTGTAATTTGCAATTAAACTCACCTGTATCAATGAACACATGCTGACAATATAGAAATCACTCTGGCAACCAGTTAAAATGGTGAAAAATTGACCCATCCTTTCCAAGAGCATTGAGAAGAGAAAGAGTAGCAAAGAACTGTCTCAGGACTTGAGAACAAAAATTGTGGGAAAGCATGGACAATGCCAAGGTTACAAGTCCATCTTCAGAGATCTTAATGTTCCTGTGTCCATTGTGCACAATATTGTCAAGAAGTTTACAGCCCATGGCACTGTAGCTAGTCTTGGACGTGGATGAAATAGCAAAACTGGTAAACGATTGCAATGAAGGATTGTTCAAATGGCAGATAAAGAACCTCGATTAACTTCCAGAAAAATTCAAGCTGATCTTCAGGCACCGGGTACAACTGTGGCAGCTCACACTATATGTCGCCATCTGAATGAAAAGGGACGCTATGGTAGGAGACCCAGGAGAACCCCACTGCTGACACAGAAACATAAAAAAGCCAGAGTGGAGTTTGCCAAAACTTACCTGAGGAAGCCAAAATCCTTTTGGTAGAACGTGCTGTGGACAGACGAAAACAAAATGACAGCTTTTTGGTAAAGCCCATCATTCTACTGTTTTCAGAAAAAGCAATGAGGCCTTTAAAGAAAAGAATACAGTCCCTACAGTCACACATGGTGGGGGGGTCACTGATGTTTTGGGGTTGCTTTGCTGCTTCATGCACTGGATGTCTTGACCGTGTGCATGGTATTATGAAATCTGAAGACTACCAAAGAATTCTGGGGTGCAATGTAAGGCCCGGTGTCAGAAAATTGGGTCTCCATCGGAGGTCATGGGTCTTCCAGCAGGACAATGACCTAAAGCACACAGTTAGCAAAAGAAGAGTGGTCCAAAATTCCAGTAGATAGGCATAAAAAAATTCATTGATAGTTACAGGAAGTGATTGATTTCAGTATTTTTTTTCCCAAGGGGTGCGCTACCAAATATTAAATTGAGGGTGTCAATAATTTTGTCCGGTCCATTTTTGGGGTTTTGCATGGGATGTGTCAGAGTTGGCTTTTTGTTTCTCCACTTTTTTTGTGTCATGCCAATACAAACAAAAGAAATAAACATGAGAATCCCAAAACATTTGTCATTGCAACAATTTTCTGGGCAAAGTGGTGCATTATCTGACAGAAATGCAGGGGGGAGTAACATGTGCTTTGGTCCTTTAGAACAGTGCCTGGTCTAGGGTTTCCACCTCATCCCTTTAAACCCAAACACATATTAATTATACAGGTTCTGAGGCTAATTTAATGCAGATAAGGCACTAAGTGAGTTTAATTACCACATTAAACAGCCACAGAACCTGTGTAAGTAATATGTGTTTGGTTTTAAAGGGATGAGGTGGCAACCCTACCCTGGTTATGGAATAGTAAGGCACCGAAAGCCATCGATTGAATTCACACCCATGGTCTTGTACAGGGAAGAAAACTGGATGCTGGAGCGTGAATCAGGTAAATGTGAAAATAGTCTAAAAAGGAAAAGAACAGTGAGCGCTGGTCCTAAACAGCAGCTAAGCACTCTAAGCAACCGATATATACTTAAACAGAATAACATAAAAACAGTGCAGCGTTGAGGGTAGTAATCATAAAACAGATATGAGTCCACTGCAAGTCCAGTTCATAAAAACGGTCAAGTGACAGGTAGGAATTCAATGTTGGTGATCCGTGAGGAAGTGGCTGAAAAACGCACTCACCAGAAAGAAGACATATAAACGCAATATATATCAAAGCTCATGGATCCTCAATCCAGAAGAAAATAAAGCTGGTCCGGTCACAGAAAAGTGGGTCCCTCCTTTATGGATGCAGCAACAGATCCTCCTCCTCCCAGTTAGGTGTAGGATTCCAAAGTCAGGGTTCTGCAAGCAAAGTGCTCCTGTGGAGACTTCTTGCAAGTTTATTGGTCGCGTGATTCCTGTCGAAAGTGGAGCTCCAGTTTACAGCCAGGCCCCTCTCCACGTCGGCGGGCGCGACCTAAGCACGCCGCACGCATGTAGGGGGTGTGGCATGAGTTGCTAAAGAGTCCCTAGCAACCAATCAGTGCCTTTCACGGCTCTGAAGCGTTCAGTTGTTTCCCAGCGCTGCTCGGATCAACAAGCTACGGAGTGTCAGGCCGATGGACCAATAAAATTGCAAGAAGTCTCAACAAGAGGCTTATGGCCTACCCCATAAGGTTCATTATCTATAACTGGTCTATAAACTGGAGGTTTTGGATGGACAGTTGGATAAATGGCTCTATATTTAGGATGTATCCAGTCTGTAAACCAGAGGCTCTGGATGGACAGTTGGATAAATGGCTCTATATTTAAGATGTATCCGGTCTATAAACCAGAGGTTCTGGATGGACAGTTGGATAAATGGTTCTATATTTAGGATGTATCTGGTCTATAACCAGAGGCTCTGGATGGACAGTTGGATAAATGGTTCTATATTTAGGATGTATCCGGTCTATAAACCAGAGGCTCTGGATGGACAGTTAGATACATGGCTCTATATTTAGGATGTATCTGGTCTATAAACCGGAGGCTCTGGATGGACAGTTGGATAAATGGTTCTATATTTAGGATGTACCCAGTCTATAAACTGGAGGCTCTGGATGGACAGTTGGATAAATGGTTCTATATTTAGGATGTACCCAGTCTATAAACTGGAGGCTCTGGATGGACAGTTGGATAAATGGTTCTATTTTTAGGATGTATCAGGTCTATAAACCGGAGGCTCTGGATGGACAGTTGGATAAATGGTTCTATATTTAGGATGTATCCGGTCTATAAACCAGAGACTCTGGATGGACAGTTGGATAAATGGTTCTATATTTAGGATGTATCTGATCTATAAACCAGAGACTCTGGATGGACAGTTGGATAAATGGTTCTATATTTAGGATGTATCTGATCTATAAACCAGAGACTCTGGATGGACAGTTGGATAAATGGTTCTATATTTAGGATGTATCTGGTCTATAAACCAGAGGCTCTGGGTGTACAGTTGGATAAATGACTACATTTAGGATGTATCTTGTCTAGAAGAACAATGATTCATTGGAATATAATAGTTTGTATTGCATTGTTCTGTCCTCTCTCCACAACTGAAGAATTAAACTGGTTATGATATGTAAAGTATAACTGATTGCCTACATTATAAAATCTAATGTTGTTATAAAATCTAGGACAAAACATATTTACCATATTATTAAAATCATTAAAAAAACACCTTTATTAAAATGGCTGGATGACTTTGCATATAATTGAATGTACATTCCTGTCTTGGTCCTCTTAAAAGCAGAAGAGCTTTGTAAAAAAAAAAATGCCAGTTATGCACATACCATGCTGGTGATGAAGATATGCCTTTCGCTGTGTCTAGCCCTGGTTCTCATACAAACTTCCCACCTCATGGGAACAAGATGTAAGTACACAAATAATTATGGGAGTGCAATGTGGTGTCAGTTGTCATTAAGAGTGAATATTAGATCAGTTGTCATATTTTATAGTTTATAGTGTCTCATTAAAAGCCGCAAGGACTTGGAATAGAGTTGCAAATCATATCACAGGGGGCCAATTATGATAAACAGGTTCTTCCTCCTGTGGATTGTGTTTATGGGCAAGAAAGTAAAACCAACAAAATGTAATTCATGCACAGTATCTTGTGATGGTATATTGTGCTCATTTCCACAAGCCTATGTTTGGACAAAACAATCTAATGCCATTTGGTTACATAGCTGGTCAGTTTAAAAAATGTTGAGGATGATTACCAGAATGCAAACAAAATTTCAACCAATGCTTCACTCCTCATTTTGAAAAAATGATGGATACATTCCAATAAACAGGACAAAAAGTAGCTGGCCACAGCAGTTAAATGACCAGGCCCACTAGGTATATTATAAATATGGAGCACTACCTCCTTGAGTAATTTTTGGGTCCCCTGCCTTTCCTGAGCCCACCTTGGAAGCCCATACCCTGCTGACACCACCTTAGACCTTTGGCCAGAAGAACCCTCTTTCTGCAACCATAAAATAGACTCACGCACAGTTTAGAGTGACCTGATATTTTGTAAATCGACCAAAGGGAAGAGGCCAAAAATTGGACTTTAGAGGCACTGGAATAATATTCATTAAAATTGTTTCTTTATTTGATTGTATACCATTACACAGCAATGCATAAAAACATCTGCTAGGAATGTTAGACCCTCCATTAGGGTGGTACATTATGTGCAGTTACAAATCTTGTAGATATATAAACGTTTTTTTTTTTTTTGATCCATACAAATATACCGTATCCAGCTAAGGTTATCAGGGAACATGAATCAGATGTCAGTGACCACAATTATTCAACACGTTTTGCGAGAACATCGCTTCTTCAGGAGTTACTGCATAAGAGAAAAAAATAGGTATGGATATGTCATAACATGTTGTATTGTCAATCATTCATAATTAAGTGTTCTTGCATGGCACCCACTTCCTGTTATCTCACATATATATTCTTATTATTATAGCCAAATTTACCCCCCTAACTCCTCCCACAGTTTTTACACTACATAGAAAGTAATATACCGAAATGTGCGGATTGTTCCCGATTGGTGTGCTATTACTTTGTGGAACGCCTAATGGTTCACAAAATATCGGCGTTTTTGTGGTGAAATTGGTCCCATAGGAATGAATGGCGGAATGTTCAAAACTAGAGTGGGAGCTGACAAAGCTAGAGTGAGAGCTGAAAAATCAGGACATGATTTCTAAACTGCCATCACTCCCTCTTATTCAAGCCCACCTACACAAATCTTATATCAAAACGTTCAGCTATCCCTACTGCCACTAAAAATGTCCACGGCTAAGCCATAGTCTTGATAGTTTTCACAATATGACCATTTGTTTGCAACTCACGCCGCCCATTGACATTCATTGAAACTCCACTCTAGCCACCTCAAATTTGAAGGACAGTTTCTAAGCTGTGACTGTGCCTTCATTTTTAATATTTCAGAGACATACTATGCATCAAAATGTAGGGTCTGGGTCTTGTGATTCTCACAATATAAAGCTCTTCGGTGTAGGATTTATCATTTTTAAACTACAACCATTTGAGGATGGCAACCGCCAGTGAAGTGAGCAAGTTGGAGCAGTTTGTTACTCCAGCCACTCCAACCACACAACAGTTACTCAAGCCACTCCACCCAGTTACTCCGCCCACTCCAGTTGTAGACTACTGGTGGAGGCAAGAACACTTCACACAATTTCCCCAGAAATTGTAGCTTTTCTAGTTATACATATTCTGACTATACGTTAACACACAGGCATTGTTGAGAGGTATGAGTAGGGGGGTAAGGCATCCACCTCCCAGGCAAGTCTGCAGGGGGATCCCAGAAGGATAGGTCACGTTATGGATAGTCCTAGAGAAGACTTCCTATTGTACGAAAGGTATACAGCTATTAAAGCATGAAAAGAAAGCCTTCCCAGATAATAATAGAGAATGTGTTGATGATAAAAATGATTATACTAACCTTCCAACCAAGGAAATTAAAATTATATCATTGATTTCAAAGCTACAATGCCACTTAAGGACATTCAATGGCGTGGACTATATGGAAAAAATGTAGTCAAGTCTCCAAAAGGGAACATACGTCAGTTATTCATAAACAGTATTTGTAGTGTCTGGGAAGGCCCAAAAAAGATAATTAGAATATAATAGGGAAAAAAAACCTCCCGCGCTGCCACTACAATACTAAACTCAACCCTACAGTCTAAAAAAGCAGCTAGCACCCAGCTATACTGTATAACCAAATAGTGAAAATGCAACAAAAAGGGGGGTTGTTGCTGCGCTAAAGAATCTAAATGAATATAAATGAACTATGAAAGGTGGGAAAAATGGATAGCCCACAGAAAACGTAACACATATGAACAACAACGTAAACAACACAAATAGCACAAGTGCAAAATTATATGTGCAAGCAACACAAATAAACACGTCCTCAGCTCAAGACATGTGCCATAGTGATATAAGTGAACTGCACATATAAAAAAGTAAAAAGGAAGAAATGATGTGAATAAAGTTGTAGAAATATAAAATAATGAAATATTGAAATAACGATGATCTGGTACAGTATAACAATCAGCACATAAACACACAAAAACACTCAAATGAGATATATACCAGTGCAGGATTAAACAGGGATGACATTTATTTATTTATCCAGGATTAAACAGGCATTTATTTATTTATTTATTTATTTCAGGTACATATATTATATTATATAGCATTGCCAATTTACATATATATTGTACATTCACATCAGTCCCTAACCCTCAAGGGGTGTACAATCTAAGGTCCCTAACCCACATTCATACATACACATACTAGGGACAATTTAGACAGGATCCAATTAACCTACCAGCATGTCTGGAGTACCCGGAGGAAACCCACGCAGGCACAGGGAGAACATGCAAACTCCAGGCAGGTGGTGCCGTGGCTGGGATTCGAACCAACGACCCGAGTACTGCCAGGCGTAAGTGAAAAATAAACACAAAAACAAACACGTCATCAATAATATATATAAAGAAATAATGTGAGCGCAATGTATTAATCCCTAAAAGGAGCAGCTAGCATATAAAGGTAAATCCTCAACACCTCAAAGAATAGCAAATAAATGGATATGCAGCGCTGAACAGTAAGAGAGACTTATATAGATAAATTGTTACGGGAGCGCTAATTTGAGCGCAACAGTAAGTGCAGTGGAATCACGTTTATGGGTGATGGAATTATACCAATATAACAGTACTAAAAAAGTGACAATGTGCTTGTTGCACGAAACGCGTCAGTGAGCCCTCCAGAATGACGCTTTGATGTGTATGGCCAGCAGGAAGGCCACTTACAACTTCATAGCCTCATAAGGTGGAGCCATCTGAGAAACGCGAGCCAGTATTTAAGTGCTGCCTGATGAGTCTGTGAGCAGAGTGAGACCCCCAAGTGTGAGCCATCATCTTCTGTGTCCACTGCTGAGCCTGATGACCCTATAGCCCTAGACCAGACCCTGATGATCCCACCATTAAGGATATACATATAAGGCTCATATTATATGTACTTCATCACTTTACCAGATTCTGGCATGGATATTACAAGTCATGAAGCACGGATTACCATATCCAATGGATGTTATTATCGTATGATTTGATTTTTTAGTAACAATTCATGTCATAAATAATGGCATAAATATTGCCACAAAAATGTGAATAAACACAAATGATGGTGTAAAGTCCACGATAAACTACTACATGTAAAGTCCAATATTAAATTCCCAAGTAGACTTGATGGATGATAGTGAAAGTGATCGACTTGACAAACAAATCCACAACCGGCAAAATGGCCAACACACTTCAAAGGCTCTCAATGCCAAGAAGATCAGCATCCCGGGGGGGGCCTTAAGCACTGATCCAAGAACCGGCAACCGGCAACAACAGTGGTGGTATTCCTCATGGAAAAAATGCACCGAGCAGCCTCTCAAACAATCCCAAAAGAGGAGAAAAGGAACACCTCCATAGTGTAGTAATTAGTGTAATTTATTGAGCAACATAATGCCAAATGCCCACTTACATCAAATACAGGTAAATAAAGCTCAGAACAGCATGTAACAGTCTGGGTGTACTTGCATGGGTGTAGCAAGATGGTGGCTGCTGTCCACGCCGGAACTGACATCACCACACGTCCATCCTACGCGTTGCGTCACGAGTCACGTGACTTCCTCAGGGTAACGGAGGTGGTGACACAAGACTTTATAGGAAGTC